AAAAATTAAAACCCCCACACATTTACATCAGCAATGACCGTTATAAAATCAAATTGCAGCAGGGATGAAGGATCTCCGGAAGCGCTCAGTCCTGCTGTCTACGGAGAGGAAACGATCTGATCGATTGCTCTTCTGAGCAGACAGAGTCCCATGCAGAGGGTGCCTGGAGTTACTAAGGATGGCCTGGACCTTTCTCCCCATGCACCTCTCCACCACTGCCTCAACAGAGTCCAGTGACCCCCCAACCACTGACCCCGCCCTCTTAACCAGTTTGTCCAGCCTGTTACGGTTTTTGACCGATATATTGTTGCCCCAACTAATGACAGCATAAAAGAGAACAGCAGCCACAACACAACTAAACTTACCCTGGGTCCTAAAATTATTCATTTTTTTGTTCTTAAAATGGCTAATGCTGGCCGAAGAATGCCGCGAAAAACTGACAGGACTCTGGCGCTAGCATTAGCACCGTTAGCTCGTTTGGCAGTTACACGTATAAAACTGCTCTCAAAAGTTGCACAAATAATCTAAACCTTCTGTAATTTACTACCACAGGTACTCGCAAGTGTGGAGGTTTGAACTGTGGCGTTTCTGGCCAAATATTAACCCGTAAAAACATAAGATAAGTCTCAGAGGAGGAATGACTCAGCACTTTCAATTCAATTCGTCTCCCCGACTACATCTGAGAATGACAACAGTTCCTACAGTATTTTATCTGTACTGAGGAAATTTAAACAAGACTACTTTACTAAATATAAGCCGAGACAGATGGACAATGCTAACACAGACTGTATACAGATTAGTGGGGGAGGGTCCCAGCTCAAAAGTGGCCAAAATGATGTGCGCTGACATGCTGCAATACCACCCCGGGCCGATGGGGGTGGACCCGGGATAAGAATTAGCCAATGCTAACATATAGCATTTGCTGACCTCTCAAAAACATCTTTACAGGATGGTCCAAAAGTTGGCTCTTGGCCCAAAGCTCCGTTCCACATGTGTGTCAATGCTGAGGGGGGTGGATTTTTTTGGTCCACTCTAGTTTACTCGCGGTGAATTTTTGAAGTCTCTCGTTCAAATGAATGGAGCTGCGCCAGCTGACGCATGCGCAGATGTGTTTTTAACAATTTTCTTGTGGGCGGGACCACTCGCGGCCATCTTGGATAGCTCCAGTAGAGCACATTTTTTGGCCCATTAGTTAGAACGGCGGAGATAGGCGTGACTCTGTCCGTTAATATATACAGTCTACGATACAGATGGACTAACAAAGACTGTATACAGGTGGACAATGCTAACACAGACTGTATACAGATGCTAATGCTAACACAGATTGTGTACAGATGGACAATGCTAACACAGACTGTATATATTAAGTCAATGCTAACTCAGACAGAATCAAAAAACCCCAGAACATTCTCAAAGACAATTCCAGTGGTTCTTGCAGCTGCAGAGAATGACGTCTTCCAAAAGTCTTTCCTCAAATCAACCCCAGAAACTTGATCCGGTTCAGAGCGAGTGGCTTTGGTGAGCTGACAGCAGGTCTTGGGCTCGCGCTCCAGCTCGGTGTAAAAACAGGGAGCTGGTGGGAGCAGGTCTTGAAAGCCGAGCCGCGGTAATGGCCTGTTACAGATACACCGCGGCATGTGGACGGGAAGCCATAAGTCAGCGGTGACACGGCGCGGCTCGGAAGTTCCCACAGATTTTGCGTCTGATCGTATCGTAACCAGATCCTCTCAGTGAAGTCATTTGCACTTTCTGATCCGAGAATCCCAACATTCTCTGGTGTGTGTTTGCAGGCCTGTCACCAGGGCTAATGCTGATGGATATTAGCGCTGAAACTAGCTAAGATGCTAATCCTGTGTTTAAATAAAAAACTGTTGTGGCTAGTTGACAACTATTTCAACAATCAATTAGCAAAGAGACCAGAGAGAGACAAGAGAGAGACCAGAGAGAGGCAAGAGAGAGACCAGAGAGAGACCTGAGAGAGACCAGAGAGAGGCCTGAGAGAGACCTGAGAGAGACCTGAGAGAGACCAGAGAGAGACCTGAGAGAGACCAGAGAGAGACCAGAGAGAGACCAGAGAGAGACCTGAGAGAGACCAGAGAGAGGTAAGAGAGAGACCAGAGAGAGACCTGAGAGAGACAAGAGAGAGACCAGAGAGAGGCAAGAGAGAGACCAGAGAGAGACCTGAGAGAGACCAGAGAGAGACAAGAAAGAGACCAGAGAGAGACCTGAGAGAGACCAGAGAGAGACCAGAGAGAGACAAGAGAGAGACCAGAGAGAGACCAGAGAGAGACAAGAGAGAGACCAGAGAGAGACCAGAGAGAGACAAGAGAGAGACAAGAGAGAGACCAGAGAGAGACCAGAGAGAGACCAGAGAGAGACCTGAGAGAGACCAGAGAGAGACCAGAGAGAGACCAGAGAGAGACCAGAGAGAGACCAGAGAGAGACCAGAGAGAGACAAGAGAGAGACCAGAGAGAGACCAGAGAGAGACCAGAGAGAGATCAGAGAGAGACCAGAGAGAGACCAGAGAGAGACAAGAGAGAGACCAGAGAGAGACCAGAGAGAGACCAGAGAGAGACCAGAAAGAGATCAGAGAGAGACCAGAGAGAGACAAGAGAGAGACCAGAGAGACCAGAGAGACAAGAGAGAGACCAGAGAGAGACCAGAGAGAGGCAAGAGAGAGACCAGAGAGAGACAAGAGAGAGACCAGAGAGACCAGAGAGGCAAGAGAGAGACCAGAGAGAGACAAGAGAGAGACCAGCAAGCGGCAACAGAGAGAAACCAGAGACTACAGAGAGAGCCTAATGAGAAAAGAGAGAGCCCAGCACTGCTCTGATTGGCTGAGGCAGAGACCACAGCCGCACCAACAGAAAGAGGCAGACAGCTTGTAATCTTTGCAGACTTGTAAAAACAGAAACACAGTGATTAAGTGATGTGCGTTTGCAAATGTGAGGCTTGGAATGTTTGGAGGAGGATAGAAAACACCGCTCACCGCCAAGGAGGGGAATCGGCAACTTTACCTGGAGATAAGATTAGAAAAGATCCGAGAGAAGAGAGTAAATACTAGCATACGCGAGTTATATGTGATGTTGCCAGTAGCTTTACTATTAATCTCCTGTTTGGGTCTGAGACTATGGAACCTGGCAACCTTTGAAGACCAGGACTTTGATGCTGTTATTGTTAAATATGGATTTATTGTGTGTTGAAGTGGGAAAGAGAGACTGATCTCTCCCTCTGCTCTCACTCTAGTCTCTGGTTTCTCTCTCTGGTCTCTCTCTCTCGTGTCTCTCTTGCCTCTCTCTGCTTTCTCTCCCTCTCTCCCTCTAGTCTCTCTCTAAGCTCTCTCTGGTCTCTCTCTCTCTGCATTCTCTTTCTAAACTCTCTGTGTCTGATCTCTCTCTGCGTTCTCTCTCTATACTCTCTGCTTTCCCTCGCTATACTCTCTCTCGTCTCTCTCTCTGGTCTCTCTCTCTGCATTCTCTCTCTTTTCTCTCTGCTTTCCCTCGCTATACTCTCTCTAAACTCTCTCTCCGTCTGGTCTCTCTCTCTAGTCTCTTTCTGCTTTCCCTCTCTTTGCTTTCTCTCTCTAAACTCTCTCTCTCGTCTCTCTCTTTCTGGTCTCTCTCTCTCTAGTCTCTCTGGTCTCTCTCTTTCTAGTCTCTCTGGTCTCTCTCTCTAGTCTCTCTCTCTCTCTCTCCTCGCTCTGTCCTCTCTCTAAACCAAAGCAGAAAGAGCGAGATGATGAAGAAGACACAAATAACTGAAGATATTGTGGTTTTCCTGCTGAGAATCCAGGCTAAGGACATTACGGCTCCGCGCATGCTAACCCCGGGCTATTCTGGGCTGCTCTACTGTGGCTTTTGTTCATGAGAAAGAGGCAAAATCTGGGAAACAATCGGAACAATGCGCTGTAAGGACTGGGCACTTTAACCACCTCATGCATATTTCCTCATTGGCACATTGTGGAGTAATCTGAAACATATTGTGTGGTTTTTTTCCACTGGTTCCTGTCTCTGCTGGTTCTGTTTTGAGGCAGACTGTTTCTCCCTGTTGTTACGTTGATTAAATGTAATGTTATACCATGAAGGGGGGAGATGGGGGGGGGGGGGGGGGGCACGTTTGCTTCGTATGAATTTGGCTTTGAAAAGAAAAAAAAGGATAATCGCAGAGCTAAACCAGGAGAGTCACCTGGTTTAGCTCTGCATTACACCATAGAGGACCACACAATATGTACATAAATATGATAAATTATAATAAACAAAACCTTTAGAATCCCGTTTAAACCGATTCTACACAAACACAACATGTTTTGAGGCATCTGGAGATTTATGTAACACACACGTCTGTGCTTCCTTCATGATCGAACCGAAAACCCGCCAACCCCGGCTCCTCTGGGGATCATTACACCGAGCCGAGTGATTGACAGGTCCTTTAGGGAGAAGTTAAAATGAGACCGGAAACTTTAGAGCAAACTGAAGATCCTCTGTTGTGGTTTTTGGAACTTTGTAAGTGACAGAGGGACGCGACTGAGCAGAGGACACACAGAAGCAAACAACAAACGAGGAACACCTACAGGAAGTGGAAACATTAGCATAAACACAGAACGCTCTCCGACTCTGTACACAAGAGAGAATTCAGTGTCTTTACCGTTTCATGTTGAAATAATCTCAAATATCTATGTTTGTCTTCAATCTGTCAGCTTTAATATACACCTCAGACTGTAAGAATGCTAATATAGACTGTATACAGATGCCAATGCTAACACAAACTGTATACAGATGGACAATGCTAACACAGACTGTATACAGATGGACAATGCTCCTTCTACAGCGCAAAACTAACGCCATCAGAACAAATGCCCATATAAGGAAATTGAATTCTGCTAGCTTATGTTGAAATCTGCTTTTTCCGCATTAAGGCCAACACTATGGCTCTATAGTTTCAACAGTGTAGAGGACAGATGCAGACGGAGAGGGAGTGTGAGGATTGGGGAGGAGGAGGGTTACTCACAGGCGATCCGGACGTGAGCTTTGCGGCTCTTGGTGGTCCCGGCCGAGCTCCAGGCCACACACTGACACCAGAAGTCCTCCGGCCCGAACAGCTCCTCCACCTGCTGCCGGGTGATCTCGATGCTGGCCTCTCGCACCACCAGGCCTGAAACGAGCACAGAGAGAGGAGACGGGAGTTAGTGAAGGAGGTTCAAGTCCCGCGCTCCGCCCCAACAGAATAAATGTTGATTTGTTGAAAATGATTATATCCACCTGTGAACAGAAAGACAGTGACGACAAATATGCAGCAGCAGAAGTCGAGGTCTCGGAGACGGAGCATAGAGCAGAATGTGGTCTCTCTCTCTGGCCTCTCTCTGGTCTCTCTCTGGCCTCTCTCTGGTCTCTCTCTGGCCTCTCTCTGGTCTCTCTCTGGCCTCTCTCTGGTCTCTCTCTGGCCTCTCTCTGGTCTCTCTCTGGCCTCTCTCTGGTCTCTCTCTGGCCTCTCTCTGGTCTCTCTCTGGCCTCTGTCTCTTTGGTGTCTCAATGGTCTCTCTCTGGTCTCTCTCTGGTCTCTCTCTGGTCTCTCTCTGGTCTCTCTCTGGTCTCTCTCCGGTCTCTCTCTAGTCTCTCTCTGGTCTTTCTGTGGTGGTGTCTCGCAAGTCTGTTCTCTGGTCTCTCCTTGGTCTCAGCGTGGTCTCTTTCTGGTCTCTCTCTGGTCTCTCTCTGGTCTCTCTCAAGGAACATCTTGGAGAGACCAGAGACAAACATAATGGAGAGACCGGGGGGCAGACATCTTGGAGAGACCAGGGGCAGACATCTTGGAGAGACCAGGGGCAGACATCTTGGAGAGACCAGGGGCAGACATCTTGGAGAGACCAGGGGCCGGATGTAATGGCACTCACTAAGACAGTTTATGAGTCAAGTAAAGTCATTCAGTAGAGTGACACATCGGAGTGGAAGCTGCTCTGCCTCAGGGGAGACACTATAGCTTGGCTCAACGAGAACTGTGTTTGCTAATCTGTGTCCAAGGCTGAGTCTGCTCTGTAGTGAGGCACCGGGGAGAAATCTGAGAATCTGACCAGACAGCAGTGGACATAAACAAAAGCTGCCCAAACAGAGATGGATTCACAGACACATCAACAAACAAACAACATTATCTGTGAGTTTTACACCAGTGCAGCCTTGAAACTCTCTTAAAGACGACAATAACACAGAGAAGAGCCATCACAGAGATCAGGATGTGCGTTTAGGAAAGGCATTGTAATTGTAAAGCACTCTCTCTCTCTGGCCTCTCTGCTCTCTCTCTCTGGCCTCTCTGCTCTCTCTCTCTGGCCTCTCTGCTCTCTCTCTCTCTGGCCTCTCTGCTCTCTCTCTGGCCTCTCTGCTCTCTCTCTCTGGCCTCTCTGCTCTCTCTCTCTCTGGCCTCTCTGCTCTCTCTCTGGCCTCTCTGCTCTCTCTCTCTGGCCTCTCTGCTCTCTCTCTCTGGCCTCTCTGCTCTCTCTTTCTCTCTCTGGCCTCTCTGCTCTCTCTCTTTCTGGCCTCTCTGCTCTCTCTCTCTGGTTTCTCAGCTCTCTCTCTCTGGCCTCTCAGCTCTCTCTCTCTGGCCTCTCTGCTCTCTCTCTCTGGCCTCTCTGCTCTCTCTTTCTCTCTCTGGCCTCTCTGCTCTCTCTCTCTCTGGCCTCTCTGCTCTCTCTCTGGCCTCTCTGCTCTCTCTCTCTCTGGCCTCTCTGCTCTCTCTCTCTGGCCTCTCTGCTCTCTCTCTCTGGCCTCTCTGCTCTCTCTCTCTGGCCTCTCTGCTCTCTCTCTCTCTGGCCTCTCTGCTCTCTCTCTCTCTCTGGCCTCCCTGCTCTCTCTCTCTGCTCTCTCTCTCTCAGGCCTCTCTGCTCTTTCTCTCTCTCTCTCTGGCCTCTCTGCTCTCTCTTTCTGGCCTCTCAGCTCTCTCTCTCTGGTTTCTCAGCTCTCTCTCTCTGGCCTCTCAGCTCTCTCTCTCTGGCCTCTCTGCTCTCTCTCTCTGGCCTCTCTGCTCTCTCTCTCTGGCCTCTCTGCTCTCTCTCTCTCTGGCCTCTCTCTCTGGCCTCTCAGCTCTCTCTCTCTGGCCTCTCTGCTCTCTCTCTCTGGCCTCTCTGCTCTCTCTCTCTGGCCTCTCTGCTCTCTCTCTCTCTGGCCTCCCTGCTCTCTCTCTCTCAGGCCTCTCTGCTCTTTCTCTCTCTCTCTCTGGCCTCTCTGCTCTCTCTTTCTGGCCTCTCAGCTCTCTCTCTCTGGTTTCTCAGCTCTCTCTCTCTCTGGCCTCTCAGCTCTCTCTCTCTGGCCTCTCTGCTCTCTCTCTCTCTGCTCTCTCTCTCTGTCTCTCTCTCTGGCCTCTCTGCTCTCTCTCTCTCTCTCTGGCCTCTCTGCTCTCTCTCTCTGGCCTCTCTGCTCTCTCTCTCTGGCCTCTCTGCTCTCTCTCTCTCTCTGGCCTCTCTGCTCTCTCTCTCTGGCCTCTCTGCTCTCTCTCTCTCTGGCCTCTCTGCTCTCTCTCTCTCTCTGGCCTCCCTGCTCTCTCTCTCTGCTCTCTCTCTCTCAGGCCTCTCTGCTCTTTCTCTCTCTCTCTCTGGCCTCTCTGCTCTCTCTTTCTGGCCTCTCAGCTCTCTCTCTCTGGTCTCTCAGCTCTCTCTCTCTCTGGCCTCTCAGCTCTCTCTCTCTGGCCTCTCTGCTCTCTCTCTCTCTGCTCTCTCTCTCTCTCTCTCTCTCTCTCTGGCCTCTCTGCTCTCTCTGCTCTCTCTCTCTGGCCTCTCTGCTCTCTCGCTCTCTCTCTGGCCTCTCTGCTCTCTCTCTCTGGCCTCTCAGCTCTCTCTCTCTGGCCTGTCTGCTTTCTCTCTCTGGCCTTTCTGCTCTCTCTCTCTGGCCTCTCTGCTCTCTCTCTCTGGCCTCTCTGCTCTCTCTCTCTGTCCTCTCTGCTCTCTCTGCTCTCTCTCTCTGGCCTCTCTGCTCTCTCGCTCTCTCTCTGGCCTCTCTGCTTTCTCTCTGGCCTTTCTGCTCTCTCTCTCTGGCCTCTCTGCTCTCTCTCTGGCCTCTTTGCTCTCTCTTTCTGGCCTCTCTGCTCTCTCTCTGGCCTCTCTGCTCTCTCTCTCTGTCCTCTCTGCTCTCTCTGCTCTCTCTCTCTGGCCTCTCTGCTCTCTCGCTCTCTCTCTGGCCTCTCTGCTCTCTCTCTCTGGCCTCTCTGCTCTCTCTCTCTGTCCTCTCTGCTATCTCTCTCTGGCCTCTCTGCTCTCTCTCTCTGGCCTCTCTGCTCTCTCGCTCTCTCTCTCTCTCTCTCTCTAGCCTCTCTGCTCTCTCTCTCTGGCCTCTCTGCTCTCTCTCTCTGGCCTCTCAGCTCTCTCTCTCTGGCCTCTCTGCTCTCTCTCGCTGGCCTCTCTGCTCTCTCTCTCTGGCCTCTCTGCTCTCTCTCTCTGGCCTCTCTGCTCTCTCTCTCTGGCCTCTCAGCTCTCTCTCTCTGGCCTCTCTGCTCTCTCTCTGGCCTCTCTGCTCTCTCTCTCTGGCCTCTCTGCTCTCTCTCTGGCCTCTCTGCTCTCTCTCTGGCCTCTCTGCTCTCTCTCTCTGGCCTCTCTGCTCTCTCTCTCTGGCCTCTCTGCTCTCTCTCTCTGGCCTCTCTGCTCTCTCTCTCTGGCCTCTCTGCTCTCTCTCTGTCCTCTCTGCTCTCTGTATCTTTCAGGAGTTGCCGATACAGCTGAAAAATGGCCATTTGTCAAATTCTGGCATATTTTCAGTAATGTTCATTAATGCATTATGCACGGCCCCTGTAACACATGATTACATACATTCATAAAGACACACAAAATGAATGATTCTGTGAGTGGATGGTGTTGGATTGTGTTGGATTGTGTTGTGTGTTGAGCCGGAGCCAGAGTTGTGTTTGGGCCAGGGCTCCGTGGGGCAGGACTGAGTCACACTGAACACAATCCTGTTTGCTAACTCCTCTGATTACTGCTCATCTGGACTGAGGCCAGAACAGAACAAACACTTCATCCCTCCACTCCACCAAAAATCCAGTGTCTCGCTCTCTCTCTGGTCCCTCTCTTTGATCTCTCTTAGTCTGGTCTCTCTTTTTAAAACTATATTTAGAGCACAACCCTCTGATAAACCAATGACCACTTAACTTAAAGGAAATACAAAAGAGAGAGAGAGACCTGACAGAGACCAGAGAGAGAGAGAGACAGGAGACAAGGACCAGAGAGAGACCTGAGAAAGAGACACCAGAGAGAGAGAGAGGCAGACAGGAGAGAGGGACCAGAGAGAGACCTGAGAGAGAGACCCAACAGAGACCAGAGAGAGAGAGAGACATGAGAGAGGGACCAGAGAGAGACCTGAGAGAGAGACCCAACAGAGACCAGAGAGAGAGAGAGACATGAGAGAGGGACCAGAGAGAGACCTGAGAGAGAGACCCAACAGAGACCAGAGAGAGAGAGACAGGAGAGAGGGACCAGAGAGAGACCTGAGAGAGAGACCCAACAGAGACCAGAGAGAGAGAGACAGGAGAGAGGGACCAGAGAGAGACCTGAGAAAGAGACACGAGAGAGAGAGAGACAGGAGAGAGGGACCAGATAAAAACCAGAAAGAGACAAGACAAAGAGCAAGGGACCAGAAAGAGAGAGACCAGAGAGAGAGACCCAACAAAGACCAGAAAGAGAGAGACCATGGAGATAGACCGGGTAGAGACCAGAAAGAGAACCGACAGAGACCAGAGAGAAAGACGAGAGAGAGACTCGCGAGAGACCAGAAAGGGACCAGAACAAATACAATGTAACTGGTCTGACTTTTGGACCGTGCCAAAATGACGCAGGTGTGTTGGAATGTCTTAATGACACGCTGCACATGTGATGGAGGCTGACGTCCTCCATGTTTGAACAGGACGCCGCTCCTGGTCTAAGACGTCGTTAATTTGAGTGACTCCATCTTGGACGGCGGCAGGAGACTTCTCGATGATGTCATTTTCCTGGACCGGTTTTTTCCCATGAACAGACTCGGATCACCGCCGCTTTCTGTGACATTTCAGTTTCTACAAGGAGCCTTTGTGTGGTTTTAAAAAGAAAATACTGACTCTTTCTACACCGTGACCAGAGAGCACTTAGCACCAGGACTGAGGCCAGAGAGAGAGAGAGACCGGGGAGAGAGAGCAGGGAGAGAGAG